GCTCTTATAACCCTGTCTAGTACCATGAGCCGGAGTTGAAAAAAGACAAAAAAAAAAAAAAAAAAGACAATACGCAGACTTCGAACTAAGGTCTCTGTATCAACAGTTTCATGGAATGGATGGACCCTTCAGCCACGTGGGTCCCAGTAGGCAGGGGAACTTTGGGCCTCTTCTCCCTTCTGAAGAGAAAAAGACGAGAAAATTTCCTCTTTTTAAACTAAGCTATATTCTTCTCTCAATTTCACCTTTCACTGAAGTTTTCTGTAAGCCTTAGCCCTGATATGGAAAATGGTAAGGACTTCCTCTTTCCAGAAAAAAAAAAGGACGATATATTTTTTTTGACCGATCCATAGCAGTAAGCTGTGACAATAAGAGCACACTCGCATTTACGACTTTCCTAAATGCCGTTTGGCTGTAGTTAAGAGCAAATATAACCCCTACGAATTGTACGTCGCCGCTCCAGATTTGTTTTTCTGTATGATCCGCACCTGGACGCGTTGAAGACCGGGTGCAGTCTGACAGTAAATTTCGATTGTCCGCTTGGCTGATTCTGAGGTTAACATCAGTTAACATCAGCTGAAAGGCGCCGTTCGCTCCCGTCTTGCTCACTAGCGGGTCGCCGCTCTCGATTCTAGGCAAAGTCTACGGCTCAAATAAATAAATAAATAAATCAATAAATCAATAAATCAATAAATCAATAAATAAATAAATCTACGGCTCTAGCCTGTCGCGACCACCAACCAGCCGTATACTAAGGTGAGAATCCTGCGGAATGAAGCTGATGCTCCCCCCCCCAATAGAATGAAGCCTGGCAAAGGTACTACTACCGGGAGGTGCTCAGACCACCCCGGGTAGTAACCCGAGCCCCGTTTCTCAAAAAAAAAAAAAAAAAAAAAAAAAAAAACTGCGGAATGGATATCTTTTTCTTGTTTCGAATTTTTAAATTTCGCTCGCAATTGATTTTTCCGTGTCGGATCGGCTGTGCATGCAAAACGATCCGACTTCCGATTTGTCTATACACTGTATACAGTTTTTTCGACAACAACAACGACAAAACAAAAATTGCCTCGACGATGTACCTCGCTGTTAGCTCATCGGATACAAGTTCGAACGTGAATGATCGATCAACAAGATAGAAAGTTCTTCATGGGCGTTGTTAACGTTTTTCCCCCTTTTGACATTTCTTTATTCTCGTTGTGGTAGCCTATAAAAACAAAATTTCAGCAAATTGCCGCGATGATGTACCTCGTTGTCAGGTAATTGGAATAGTACTAGTACCCGTTCGACCGTGAACGATCGATGAGAAAGAAAGTTCTCCACGGGCGTTGTTCACTTCTTTTTCCCCCCTTTCTGACCTCCCTTTCTCGTTGTCATATCCCCCAGGACTTTCAGCTGCCAAACCAATCAATCACCTAATCAATCAATCAGTCAATCAATCAATCAAGCAAGCAAGCAAGCAGTAAATCGATCAATTAACCAACCAATCAATCAATCAATCACATGCAATCAGATCACGAGACAACCAAATTTCTGATGAAATAATCCGTTACTTCGACTGACTTAAGAATTTAGTACGTATTCTGCACCACAGTAAGTATGAAACCTCGTTCATCATGAAGACATGCCAAACGGGACAACGCGGTGGTGGGTGATTGGCAAGGGAAAAACATAAATAAGGAGCACAGCTTCGAAGTGACCCGCGCGCAACAAAGCCTTCACTTACCAATCCTAGAAGGCCGTAGTAATCCTCTGCAATTTGCTCTCCGGCAATATCGACGTCGGGATCTGTACCTGTCGCACTGGCCCGAGGTCGGGCGATCGAATCCCTCTGAAACACGTGTCTCTTCCGTTGTCCCTGCGCGGCTATTGACAGGGGCTTGCCCGCTAAATGGGAAGACCGCCATCCGCCACGGAGTCTCAACGTTCTATCGCGGTTTTGTAGGGCGACGTCGGAGCGCACGCTCTTCTTGGCCAGCATCCAAACGTGTGAAATTCTTCTCCGTCGTGATCCCGAACAAAGGGAAGAGCCCAGAGATGCTCGACACGCTGACAAGGAGCGACGAGGCTTCACAGGCACTCGCATCAACGCTTCCGGCCCATCCGCAGGCGATAGGGTCTTCGCGCAGGCTGTGGCCATCCTGCGCGGATCTTCCTCGATCTACTTCTCCCACGTCAGCTTTTACAAGTCTGAAAGCAATCACAAGTCAATTAATCACTAATTAGTAATCAGTAAACATGTCCTTTGGATATGAGAGGGAGCCCCCCCCCCCCCCCCCCCCCACACACACACAACAACCCCCGGGTACCCGCACGGCTGCCCTCTCCTACCAAAGCCCCCCCCTAACCCCCTAACACAAATATGGCGACGTGAGTCACGTGACAATAATCGCGTATTAAAAGTTTTTTTTTTTTAATTCAGTAAATGGAACCGTTGATTTCGCTGACAACCTTCTTCGACGAGCCAATCAACAAGCCGCTAAACTGGCTGATGAGATCCCCGGAGAACCCGACAGGGGGGGCGAAGCCTGCGAAGCCCGTAGAAAAGGCAGAGAAAATGAAGCTTAAGTCGGTCTCTGCGGAGAAGAAAAACAAGGGAGACTGAAGATGGCAGAGAAGGATGGAAAAGACGGAAAAGATGGAAAGGATGGAAAGAATCTCTGCCTCCGTCTGCTCTTTGAGGGTTACCTCCGACAGACGACCGCCCTTAGTCTACCGATGGCCGCCCACGAACGCCGCTAGTAGTGAGCGACTCGTGGGCAGTCACGCACGTGAACGACTACAAATAATTGACAGTCAAAAAGAGAGCGCGACATAAGACGAACAACTGCACAGTCTGCAGGACGAGCTGCGACATCCATCCAAGAAAAGAACCACCTGCCATACGCTTGGTTTTCTCCTTGTCCTTTCTTTTTTTTTTTTTCCCTCTCCTTGTCCTTTCCGTCGTCGAGCCGTTCACAATCTTGAGAATCCTCCTGGGGCTAGGTCCCGCTTGCAGGAATTAACAGACGCTGACCGTAGGTAACAAAGATCAACGGACGAAATCTTTTGATCCGTGCAAGTGGGACCTTGCCCTCCTGGTCAGTTCCAAGCCTGAAACCAAACCGGTGCCAGACTCCGACGCTCAAATCCGAACTCGGCCAGCCTCACTGAAGAGTACTGTGGCTACGAACGAGCCTACGAGTCCAACGAGCCTACGAGTCCATGCCAAAATAAAACACCCTTACCTCCACAGTCAAAAAAAAACACCCTTATTAAAAAAAATAAAAAAATAAAAAAATAAAATAAAAAAAAATTACCCTCGAGCGATCGAAACGGCGAAAGCCGTGCGCCTCTTTGGGGGAACAGAAATATCGCAACAGACACAATTGAAGATCCGGTCACGTGATCACTCATCGTATTGAAGAACAAACCGCTTAAAGGTGGGTAGACCGTCCACCCGGTACCAGCACCTACTTCCACTAAAGCAGAACTTAGAAGAAGTAATAATGATGGTGGTAATAACCAAAAACTGATATTGTTTAATCGAGAGCACGTTCCCGCATATAGTGAAATTTTATTTGAGCCTAGACAACCCAACTCACGTCTTTAAACCTTTGACAGATTTAAAAGGACTCTATCTTAGTCCGATTCAGGCTCGAAGAAAAGAAAAGAAAAGTATGTTGTGTTTTTTTCTTAATAAGCGTTTTTCTTATTTTCATCAATTTTGATTGGCTTTTTTTGCATCCAAAGCGTATTTTATTGAAGTTCATCATACATACTAACCGATAACCCGTAGGAACAGATTTGAAGTACAAAAATACGCACCAAAAAAAGGGCCAGTTGTTTGGCTATATATGCCATGCATGGCTTACGCCGTGCACTGTATGGACATCAAGACATATGGCTGGCAGAATTTCTTTTTTTTTTTTTTTTTTTTATAAAAGGGCGATGGCCTTGAGGTATTATCGGACTAACCAGCCCAGGTAAATTCAATCTTGTGTCTAATCTGACAACGGTGGCCTTTTCAGCCCAGGGTGGCCTGAGCCTTCAGGGAACCCCCAACGGGGACACCGGCCAGGGGACAGCCGGTGGCAGAGGGACCGAGCATCATCTGAGTGGCCAGTCGCTGTGCCTCCCCGATTACCCCTCCCCCTATGAACATCAGCAGAACCTGCTTTTTAATGCCAATTGGGGGGGCCAACGGGCTATCTCTAGGTGGCGGGAGCCAAGCATGCCCAGGAAGGTACATGAGGCCAATGGGGATTGAACCCAAGACCTCCTGAATGCCACTTGCGTGCCTTACCAACTGAGCTAGGCCGCTGGATGGCTGGGAGAATTTCTGAACCCTCCAATACACCAAAATACGCACTTCCAAACGCTTAACGGTCATAAAATAGCGCACTTGCGTGAATACCGCCGATAATATGAGCAAACGAAAACAGCAGTGGCACGTGCGCGCTCGTGGGCGCGAGAGCGAGCGACCGCGCGCGCGCGCGCGAGAGAGAGAGAGAGAGAGACGCAACAGCGCTAATTCACAACAAAAAATGATGTGAGAGAGAGAGAGAGAGAGAGAGAGAGAGAGAGAGAGACAGACAGGGAGAGAGAGAGAGAAAAACGCAAAAGCGCTAATACACAACAAAAAAATGATAAGAGAGAGCGAGAGAGAGAGAGAGAGAGAGAGAGAGAGAGAGAGAGACGCAAACGCGCTAATACACAACAAAAAAATGATAAAAGAGTAAAAATAATAATAATAATAATAATAATAAATGATAAAAGAGCGAGCTTTTCCACCTCGCGGGTCTGGAAAAGAGAAGACTGCGCAGACGGACTATGCGCCACCTGCAGTAAGCAGTTTGCAGAGGCAAAGGTCCCACTTGCACGGTGATTAAGAGATTCTGGCCGTTGATCTTTGCTATCTACGGTCAATATCGCTTAATTCGTGTGAGTGGGACCTCCTGTAGCCCCAGGCCTTGTTTCAATCGCAAGGAAGCTATTCGCGATTTCCCTTCAGCCAGCCGTTGATTGGTACTTTCGTTTGAAACTTACTTTGAGACTGTTCACTCCGGATTCTGCATGGACGACATTATCGACAGGAAAGGCGAGGGGAACAGATGCTGGAGTTGCGCTTGTTGCCTGATAATCTCAGCTCGGCGCGCAGGTAAACATCACTTCAATGTTCCATCACCTTTTTTCGCACTGCAGCCCTTCGCAGTTTTTTTTATTTTTTTATTTTTTTATTTTTCTTTTAAAGGGAGTTTCACATGCCCTCGGGCCCGACTTTTCCATGTCCGCTAGGGGCCAAGTCCCACTAGCAGAGAGGATTGGATTAAGCTCCTGCATCTGGACGTGTTTTTCGAAGAGATGCAGAAACGCAGTTGAATCTCGATTTTCTGCATCTGTCCACGCACTCGTCTAGATTCACGCGCTCAAGCCATTTCTCTTTGCTAGTGGGACCTAGGCCCAGGTATTCGACAAGAGAAACAGCAAAAAAAAAAAAAAAAAAAACAAGAGAAACAGCACGATGCATGAACCGCTGCCCAAGCCGAACGATTGTCGAACGTCTAAAGACCGCGGGCGAGGTCCCACTACTACCGGTAGCGCAGAGGATTGGATTAAGCGCCTGAATGTGGATGTGTTTTACGCATCCATGCAGAAATGCAGATCAATTGCGATTTCCTGCTCCTCCCCACAAATGCGTCCAAATTCAGGCGCGTAAATCAAATCCTCTTTGCTAGTGGGACCTCGCCCCGGCGCTTACAAATTACAATCCGTAATGCCACCAACTTCAGCCAATGCGCAAATTTCGATTTTCCTACTTTCTTTTTTTTTTTTTTTTTTTTTCCTCCTACTCTTTCCATTCTCATACAAACAGTTGAACAGAGGCCGCGGACCTCACAATTCTACCCGGGGTGAGGTCTCACTAGCAAAGAGGGTTGGATAAATATCCTGAATCTGGACGTGTTTTAAGCACAGATGCGGAAAATCAGTTCAATCTCGACATTCTGCACCTTTCCCCAACCAAGTCCAGATTCAGGTGTTCAATCCAATCCTCTTTGCTACCGTAGCGGGACATGGCCCCCCGAGTTATCCTGGCAGCATTAGCCACTTTCGCTTACAGCCACTTCAGGCAGGATCACATCACCTCTTCCACTTTTTTTTTTTTTTTTTTTCTTTTTTGTTTTTTTTACGTCAATATTTCAGTATAACATAAACCAAAGGAGGCCGGGAATCCCTCCACTTTTTCCAAAGCTGTAATCATCTGAAACCAGTCCCTCTACACATTCCTTGACTTTTCAGCTTGCATCAAATGTCCTACCGGCAGCATCAAACGGGATACATCCAGATACAATTTCGATTTTCAAAATTGGGAAACATGCATTGCAATTACAAAAAATTGCAGGAGGGCAATATACTCTTACCTCTGGTCCCTCTCCCAGCGACAGGCAGCCACACTGACTTGCTTGGTTCAGCCGGTAGCCAAGAACTTCAAGCTGGATTGCCGGTCGTACGTCGGTCCGAACTGCTAAGTACTAACTGTACTATAGGCCTATCGGACTACACTATAGGACTGCCTATTGATGGCCTGAGTGGAGGAGAGGCTATGAGGGCCTACTCACAAAAGGACTCTGTGGAATGAGTTTAGCCGTTCTTAGGCTCAGACGAAATGCTGCTGTAACTAAGACCTCCTAAGTGCATGTCATAGGAAAAGGAACGATTGAAGGACAGCAAGAAAGAGGCGCAGCGGATCTGCTCCCTCCACTACCCGTGGCACAGCAAACTGCTATGTCAACCTGTATTTAAACCACGCACACGCACACGCACGCCTTGGGCCTCGCTCTACGTACGAACCCCGCCAAAATGTGAGAACAGTGAATGGCTATGGGCGTCGCCAAAATGTGAGAACAGTGAATGTCTATGGGCGTCGATCCACTACTCGCGTTTATGCACAGAAGACAAAAATCATGGCGGTGTATCTTTCCATGTTCTAGAGGAGGATTCACTCTCGTTATGCACATATCGAGAGTAGCGGGGCCAGGCCCTATTTGGTCACCAATTTCCCATTCGGCGAGTGGTGGAAACGAGTCCATTCTTTTCTCTTTTTTTTTGGCGGGGTTTGGATGCACACGCGTACAAGAGCGCGCGCTGCGTTTTTGCCTTTTTTAAAAGGGCGACGGGCCTTCAGATATCACATTGACCTGACCGGGCCCAGGTAATTCATCAGAATCGTTTTGTTCCGGTCATCTGAGGGCATATATACTCGCACGAGGACTTTTTCCACAAAGCTCTGGACGTGATTGCGGTCAGATGCAGCCTGGTCCGGCTGTAATTGCAGTCAGATGCATTCTGGAAAGTGCTAGTGTGAGTATGCCCTGATTTTCTCTGGGTTCGAACCCCCGTCTGTATATCAACAGCTCGCGGGTCTACCGACTGAGCTGGTAGGCCCGCCGTTGGTAAGAGCGCGCGCGCGCTGGCTTCGCTCATCACTCTTCAGAAAGAGGAAAACCGGCGGGTTCGCGTCCAATCTGCGCGCGTTTTCGTTCCTGGCCGTCGATCTCCACAGTCTACGGCTAGGCTACGTAGAAACACAAAAAAAAAAAAAAAAAGGCTACGTAGAAACGGAAAACGCGCGCTCCGCAGTGCGACCTTGCCACACAGCGCAGGCATATCTCGAAAAAAAAAAAAAAAAAAAAAAAAAGACCTTGCCACGGCGAAGGCATATCTCGGAAAAATCGGCCCTACCGTATCGTAGATATTTTCTCCAAGAGGACGAGCGG